TGTTCTTCCCTCTGCGTCTTCCAGTATCTTTAAGGGAAAAATATGCTTAAAGTAAAAAGGAAAAATGACTCTTACTAGGTTTGTTTGCTACCTTTTAGACCTGATCTGCACCTTAAGTCCTAAAACCAGATTCTGGTCTTTAAATTTAGTTAAATAGAGCACCGGAAATGCGATGTTTAGGAAGGATTATTTTTCTGACAAGTGATTTGTTTGTTTTGTTTCTTTGAAATTACTTAAAAATAGCAAACAGTCTCTGATAGAATATCGCCTGGGGAGAAATAAGATGATGAACAGAGTTGTAGTGATCTTTGTTAATATGAGAGAAAGGTGTAGGAAGGTAACTACATCTTTTTGCTTGCTGGGTTGCCTATTCTATGAACAGCAGTGTCCTCATTGGCATTGCTGGTTTATGTACAGGCTCCTGTTCTTACAAGTGCTTAATGGTGGGAAGGAGAGAATGTTCTTGGACATGTGAGTTACTGAGTTTTCCTCTGTATTGTGATCCTTTGCCAGTTCTTTCATGCACCAGTGTAAACGTGGTGTTATGCAACATGGACATCTCCTTTCTCATGAGAAAAGAAGGTATCTACCACCAGAGGTTTACAATAATGAAGGAAGGATACTTGAAAGTAAACCACTGACAAGAGTTCCCTTAAAGGAGAGAAGTCAAGACCTGCAGTGGTGTGTGTGGAAGGTAGGGCTCATTTGCCTCTGAGTTTCAAATTAATGTAATTTACACTGGCTCCATGAAATAGGATCTGATTAGCTACAGCAGAAATGAGTTGTTATTCTGCTTGTTCCAGTGATTGCCAGCAGGTGGCTATCAAGTTCAGTAAATAATTTCAGCTGGATGTCTGGAAGCTACTGCAAACTTGTTACCTGTTACTGTCACAGTCTGGGGGGAGTAATACAGTTTTAAATTTAAATTCCTTTTAAAGAGATTAACCGGTGACCCAGCATACAGATTATGTTCAAATGTTACGAAAGGTTGCACACAATTTAATATATATTTCTGATCATAATTCAGGCAGATGATAGTAAAATATTTTAACACCTCTGAAAATGGGTGGTGCTGATCTGTAGCTGGATGTTTCTCCACTCCTCATTTTTCTGCAGCTTGAATTAGTACCTTGACAGACTTCGTGGTTCAATATTGATACAGCATGTTAATCTATACTCTGCTTGAAAGCTGCTAACTAATCAATGCAGGTGGTAGTTACTGTTCAAATCTTTGCTTTTTATCTTGACAATAATGATTTTTATGTGTGTAGATAATACAGTACTGAAAATTTTTGTCTATCAGAATTCACAATTGTTATTAACCTAATTCCACACAGTTGTTACAGTTCAATGTTCTTTTAATGTAAGGAAATGTGCATGGAGTGGGTGGGAGAATGGAGAAGATAGGAGTTAGGTGGAGATTTCAGAAATTAAGGTAGCAAAGCCATGGTGTTAGTGGTTGTTTCGATAAAATTCTGAAACTACGTGCAATGAAAGCAAATTACTTTGTAATACTCAGGCGTTAGAGTCCAAAGTAGTGTTTTAAAGATCATGACTTAAGGGTATTCCCTGATATTTTTGCAGTAATTGGCCAGCCTTCACCTTGGGATACACTTGTATGTTGTCAGATAAAATGCTAAACTGAGTCTCACTTCACTGGAAAAAAAGCAAATTCCTGTGAAATAAGAAGCTGTTTGTAGTTGAAGTATTGCTAGTTGATGCTGATTGATGCCACATTCCCCCTGCATCAGAAGATGTGCTCTTGGCTATAGTGTGGGCAAAAGGAGTGAACATGGGGTATTTCGTAAAAGCAGATAAAAGTTCTCATTTTTGCCCTGTTTACTTCTGTGTAAGTTGTCCTTTCAGTTCTGTTATCTGATCACAGGTGATACCTTTGTTTTGCTTGCCGGGGGGTGGGGAGAAGAAATACATTTCTCTGCTATAGAAAATTCATTTCACAGCACAAACCAGAAAAGACGAAGGAGGGCATACAGTTCTTCCCACAGAAATTCAGAGGTAGGGGAAAAACTTAGGTGACCTAACTAGTGGATGAAGCTGCCCTAGTAAGTGCTGTTTTACTTTTGCCTTGAAGCAGAGGTAGTGCAGTCTAATACAGTTAGTTTTCTGTATTTTTTTTTAAGTAGTCAAAAATGCTTGTATTTAAAAATATTAAAGTGAGTTTAAATATTTTCCCTAATAGTAAAAATAGGAGCCCAATGGAAGTAAGTCTGTAGCCAGATGCATAACTACAGACACTTTGGAAGCTGCTGGTTATTGTTTAATAACCAGCCTCTGGGAGACAGAGGAAATCTGTGCAGATAGCAAAGCAAGTAGAAGTGTCAAGACTTCTTCTGTCTCTAGATTATTTCCCAGCTGTAAAATAAGGATCTTCTGCTCACCACACAGGTGCTAAGAACATGGGATATTTTTAGAAATTAGAGCACTTGGAATGCTGGCAATGGAGGAAATACATGCATAAATAAAGGGAAAAGCTAAATTCTTTTGTTTTCAAAGTGAAAAGAGAATATGCTTTTGCAACGTTTCTTTGTGGAGTAAAAATGCAATTTTAATATAACAAAGAGACTGCTGGCTAGCAGAGAAAAGGATTAATGGCACTTCAAACTGAGAAAAAGATACTTGGAAACGGTTTGCTTGGTCCTGCTGATTTTTGTGGCAGTGGAAAGCTAAGCTGCTTCTGTCTTTAGGAAGTGTGCCTGCAGGGAGTGCCAGACAGACTTCTCTGCCACTCCAAATTAATCACACAAATTGTTTTTCTGCCAAGATAATATCCTTAGGTACACTTGTAAATCTTAGTAGATTCTGTTGAGAAGTGAACAGAATTAACAGAACATGTAACAATTGTAATAACTAGAGTGATGTAGATTTGTCCTAAAAATAAAATCAGGCAGTTTTCTTTTAAAACCCTTGTTAATCCATCAATGATGGGGAAAAACAGCTAAGTACAGTAGTAAAATTTTCTATGCTAAATATAAGATGTCATCATCATCTAGAAGATGATAATGGGTTAGAAGGATACTAGGACAATGCAATTTATCACGGAGCTTTTGTGTGTAAAAATTACTTGAATATGTCTTCAGTGTATTTCTCTTCTTGAGTCCCTTGGGTGAGACTTCTTTAATCATCTGCACTTTTTCTGACGATAAATGTTTTCAGAGGTGTGACTAAGAGAATAAAAATCTGTGGGATAATATTTGTTTAATTATATCTAGGAGTAGGGCCAACTGCAGTTCCTGATAAGGAAACAATGTCAAAATTCTAAATGATTAATTATAATGCTTCCGTCAATATCCCACAGAGACGCAGTAGGCTTTTTCCCCTCATCTTACAGCTACATCACTTCACATCCTGAACTGCTAAACTGGAGAAGAGCATAGCTCACTGTGTGGATGGGAATCTCCTAAAGCCAGACTGTACTTGAACAGGAAAGGGCCTGATGGTGGCTGATGTCAGACCTCTCTAAGCTGAGATACTAAGTGTTACACTGCTAGGACTTCTATTTTATCTTTTAATGAGCTAAAATTAGGTTTGATCTTAAGGTCTTTATATATTGCATAGGAATTCCAGGTTTGTTGGGAACTTAAATGACTGTTCTTTTGTCTTTTAACTAATTTGCAGTTACGTTTGTAGTTTATTGTTGAAATGAGCTATGATCTTCTCACCATGGATGAACAGGTGGCTCCTAGTTGAAGTAAAGGTGAAATGTACCTGTGTGTAAACACACCTGAGATACGTATGATTGCTCTTTTAGGAAGAAGTATGGGTCAGAAGCAAACTAAAAATCAAACTTTATTGAACAAGTAGCTAAGCAAAGAGTTGATCTAAGTTTTTCTTCCTAATCCTCAAAAGCATGTGAATTGAATGAGTGTGTCTGTGTGTGTGTGTGTATATGTGTGTGTGTGTGTATATATATATATATATATATATAAATATATATAATTATGATTACTTTTCTTATTCATCAGTGCTTCATTACCAGAATCCTCAAAATGTTTTCAGCCTGGTGAATGTTTTCAGTAACATGCAATGTACAAACTGTTTGAATTAACATCTGTTCAATTGAAGTGAGCCCAAGTGTGGAATTTGAGCCCAAATCTGGGGTTTTGTGACCACTGGCTTGCTAAAACATCCTCTCCGTCGGCCACCACAACACGTGGCAGAATTGTTCAGCTTGGGGTTTCCCACAGACCAAATGCATTTCTAGTGTAACGTGACTGGCTCCAACACTTCACTCCAGAAATAACATCGTTGACCTGTGATCTCATCTGCTTATTTTGATAATTCACATTATCTTACTGTAATGGTTTCATATCTAAAAGAATTTGCATTTTGCTCTCCTAAGGAAAAAGATTAAATGTCAGCTAAGCATGATGTGAATGAGCAGTACCTGGAAGGTGACTTTGGAAACGAAAAGAATTATTGGGCTTAAGTCACTTTTTTTTCATGATGGAGACTGAGCACAACAGCAATATTTTCACCACGTCCTTGCTGCAATTTTTGAGTAAAAATGGGAGGAAAACCAAAAATTGATGCTCTGAGGGGAATTCTGACGGCTCTCCAAACCTCTGCCTTCTATCAGCTTTCGAAACGGACATTTTGGTGGAGAAACTGGCGAGGATTTAACACCATTTCCTCGCCAGGGGCTGAGGAAATTCCCGGCGGGGCCCGAGAGCCGCTGTGCCCGGGGCCGCTCCCGCCGTGACTCAGCGCCTGCCCGGCCGCCCTGAGGCGCGGCGCCGAGGGCCGGGGTCTCGCTGCGCGGGCTCTGCCCCCGGGCGTCGCCTCAGAGCCGAGTGGGGCGCGGCCGCTCCCCTCCCCCCCCCACACACACCCCGGTTTCGGCCAGGAGCAGTGCCCGGTACCGGGCGGCGCCTCGGGCCGGGGGGGCGGCAGGCGCGGCGGGAGGGAGGCTGTGCGCCGGGCCTCCCCCGGGAGCGGCGCCTCGGCCCGGCCCGGCCCCGGCCGAGCCCGCCCCTCTCCCAGTCTCCTCCGCGGCTCCCCCTCCCCGAGCCGGGCGGGGCCGCAGCTCGCAGCGCCGCCGCTCCTTGTGCCGCCTCTCCCCGCTGACCGAGGGCACCGCCGGGACCCTCTCCGGCCGCCCCCCCCCGTCCCCGCCGCCGCCTCAGCCGCAGCCGGCGCTGCCCGCGGAGCCGCCATGAGCTGGGGCACGGAGCTGTGGGTGAGTGTCGGCCCGGCCGCTCCGTGTGTCGGCACCCGCCGCCTCCCCCCCCCCCCGCCCGGCCGCTTTGTTCGGCGCTGGGGAAGGGCGGCGGCACCGGCGGAGGGACGGGGGGGCTCGGGGCGGTGTGAGGGGGAAGCGGGGCGCCGAGGCGGGGCTGAGGGGCGGGCGCTCGGCGGGCAGCGGGGCCGGGGGGCGGCCGTGGCGGGGTGCGGGGGGGTCCCGGTGGCGGCCCGGGGTCGCGGCGGGCCCGGCTTTGTCTGCGGCGCCGCCCCCGGGGGGCTTCTCCGGAGGGAACCTTCCAGAGCGGGGGCGGCCGGCGGGGGGAGCGGCAGGGAGCGCTGAGGGGGCTCGGCGGGCCCCCTGCGGACCGGGGCGCGAGGCGCGCACACGCCCTGAGGAAAATATTCCCCCCAAATATTCCCCAGGATGTTCCCCCAAATATTCCCCCAAAACCGGGTGCAGCGGCCGCGGCTCGGCCGTGCCGCCCCTCGCGGCTCCGGCAGCCCCTTTGTCCCGCACGGCTGCGGCAGCGCTGGGCGCCGGGAGCGGCGCTGCCTGGCGGGGGGGATTTAGGGCGGGTCGGGATTTGGGGGGCTGCAGCAGCCCCGCGTCCCCCGTGTCGTGTGGGGAAGCGGGTCGTTAAGGCTGGCAGAGGTCTCCGTGATCGCCTGGTGCGGCCGCCCCTACCCGGGAGAGGTTTTGGGGCGGCGCTGGGGAGAGTCGGGGGGTGCCTTGGAGGAGAACGCTGAATTTTCGTCTGTGTGTACTTAAATTCCTATCGCTTCAGAAACCAGGCTTTCAGTTTGCTCGTCTCTGTTCCTTTGGGCAGCCTCTGAATTTTGTTTTCTTTGTTCGGCTTGTGAATGATAGCTCAGGTTTTGTGTTCTGTCTGGTGCTCAGCATTGTGAGGAAACACGTCAGAAATACATACAAAAATATGGATTTCAACTTCAGGCTTCATTTCAAGAAAAGGCAATTTTATTTACGGCATCATCAAACTGCCTGAATTTTATCTAGACCTACTACTTTTTTTTTTCCTAAGTCACTAATTCCATTGTGCTGGTTTAAAGAAATAAAGCCAGATGTTTAAAATAAAAGTTCTATGCTACTGCTTTTATTTCAGCAAAATTCAATATGCTTTTTCGTATTATTAGGAGATAGCTATTTCCTTAAGGTATGGACACAGATTTTTATATATATATATATATTATATATATTTATATATATTAAAAATATATATTTATATATATATATTCATATATATATATATAAAATGGTCTGTTTGTAGGCATATAGCTGGCTTCTCTGATTTAAGTTTTTATATTGAAATGTACCTTCTAAATGGGTTGCTTTTGTTGAATTATGTCATGCTTTTTGAAAAATTGCATCTTAGGGCTATAAAGCCAAGTATTTTGTTACGCAAAAAAAAAAAAGTTCAGTGCCTCTCATACCGATTGAAAAGAATATCAAACGTGTGCTTTGACATCTTGCAATGGGCAGAGAAACATTTATCTTTCAATTCTGGCGTGAAATTTTGTTTATAAATGTATTAGCTCCTCTCTAGACCAAGAATGCAATGAAAAGCAGTGCTCTGGGAGCTTTGGAGACAGGGCTGCGAAGAATGGGCAGTTAAAGCATTACCTGTGTTTTCGTCCCGAGGCTTTCCCTTCGCCTTCCCCTGCTGCTACCCTGAGTGCAGCCTCTCAGCAGCAGAGCCAGGCTGGGCTCGCTACTGGCAGCGGGGCGTCCAGCGGCAGCAGCGCGGACACAGCGGGGAGAGGCCTCGCCCTTGGTAGTGCTGGTGCCTGGGGATCCGAAGGGCAGGTTGGCATGGTCAAGGCTTGCATTTGGAGGACGGTTTTTCTGAATGTTGAGCAAACGTTCGCGACGTGTTTGTAAGCAAATACGTATGTAGGCTCTCCTCGTATATTTGCAGTTCTGATGTATTTATTTATTTATTTTCCTGGAGTCTGTACGCTACTTCTGATAAAGTAAAAAGTGTGCATGGGTACATTTAGAGGGAAATAAGGATCCAGAAGAAAATCTAGGGGATTAGAAAAAGCAACTCATGTCCAATATTTATAGCTCTTTTAATATAGCTCTTCTGGTATTAAAGTGTGTTGTTCATGTTTAAAATATCTTCAGTGGTTATATCATGAAAAAAGGGAAAGATTTTGTTTGATGGGCCAATATTTCCTAATTCTTAAATTCTTCAGCTGCTATTTCTATTTGCAGATTATTGGGCATTTTTGCCTTTCAGTCAACCATTTTTATAAGTACACCGTTCAGAATTAGGTGTACAGTGGCCAATGCACATATGTCTTGGGGAGGCTGAAGTAGAGGTGCTTCGTGTTTTTAGTCCAACAGCATATTCCCTGGTGTGTGACTGCTTTCAGTAATGAATATATTTCCTCTGATAACACTATAAAATAATACTGAACTAATAATAGTGAAATAAACGTTGATTTGTTCAAGCCATTCTGTCATTAGAACTTTTGTTTTACCTTTTTTTCCACACTATGTGAAATGTGTTCTCCTTTTTTTTTCCACAACAAAATTTTTGTGATGAATTTTGAGTGTTGTTCCACAGATAATTTTATTCTGATTAGTGCATTTGTTTTTGTAGTGACTGCAGCATATACGTCATGATATGTGCTCATTAAAAGCAGGATACTTCAGTGAACTGCTTTGCGTGATAGTCTTCTCCTCATGGTTATGAGAGAGTGGTGGGAACTGGGACGTCTGGGTTCTAGTTGTCTGTCATCCAGTTGAAATTGTATTTTTTGAGACTTGGACTGCTGTGCTCTAAATTCTCCTGTCTGTAATAATTGGGTGTTGTTTTATTAATTTATTATTTTTTTCTTATAGATAGGAATTGTAAAGTAATAATCACCTGATGAAAGGGTGTATATAATAACAAAGTATCATTGTTTTCTTGGTAATGAAAAATTGTTGCTTGTGGCTGTTTGCTTTGATACACTTTCCAGGGTTTTGACTTCAGTATGGTTTGTTTTTTTGTTTTGGTATTGTGTTTTTGTTCTCCTCATGAGCACTCTGAGGGCATACAGTTCAAGTTCTGGGTGGACTTTCACACTTGCTTAGTAAGATGCTCCAGTCTGACTTCTATCAAATTGTATTGCAATATCCAAGGTGAGAATAGATAAACGGAACTAAGGCTGTGAGGCTGTTCAGTAATTTAGCAACTGAAGTATTTGGAAAGAAAAACAATGGATTCTGATTTGTTTGAGTCTATTTGGCATAAACCTCCGTTTAGTGTGTATGTTTGTACATCTAGAGTTCTTTCTGTGATGGGCATCAACTGTACAAATAATATTAACATAGAAGATTTAACAAACCATACCTAGTTATTGTTATCATGGGTTTCTGTTCAGTTCAGTTGAATATATGGTGTGTTTGTTTGACACTAAAGGCTCACTGAGCTTTGGAGACTGGAGGATGGTTAGCGATGAAGTCCTTCACTTAATGGAAGCAAGTGAAACTTAGTGTGTGATTAGCAGTTTTGTTTTTAAAGTAGCTTCCTTGGAAATTAATTAGCGAGGTTAAGGCTACCTCTTTGAAAAACATCCTTTCTGTTTTTTTTTAGTTTATGTTATGTGTTTCTGAACCTCTGTGAATCTCTTAATGGCAGTTGGCAGCAAAAGAGATGGAATACCATGTCAGAACATTTTCAGTCTGTAAAACCAGTCTAGCCATCTGTTTCTCACCTCTTGATAAATATTTAAAGCAGAAGTTTTGCTGAGGGCTTTTGTGCTAGGATTTTATGATTTAAGAAAAAGGCTATGGAAGATTTAATGATACTATTGTTGTGAGCTCCTTAGGGCCAGAAGCACCCCATCTTTTATAATTAAAAAACCACTGGCACTGTAGAACGCTGTTTTAGAAACGAGTTACATCTGACCAAAGATCAAAGCGTGTTTGGTGATGTGCTCTTTTAATCTTCACTTAAACAGAATTAATTCAGTGCCTAAAACCAAGTTTTATATATGAAAATGTTAAGTAATTTTCAGTTGCATCAATAATTTTTCTTTTTTTTTTTTTTTGTAATTTTTCTTGTGCTTCTGTTGTCTGTTTCAGTCATTGTTAGTCTCTTATTTTAAAATAATGTATCCTTTTTGTGCAGAAGAGGGTAAGTTGTGTGGTGATGTCTGATTGAAAAAGTCACCATGTTTAATTGTTGATGGTAAAACATCAACAGAAAGTAAATATGAAAAAGTTGACTTTAACAAATAATAACTATTTTGTTACATGTTTCTTTTCTAATAGTTTCTCATATTTTTATTCATAGATCAGAAAAACTGGTTTTAAATCTAAATATTTTTTTTCAAAAGTTTGATACTGAGAAACCTTTGTGTACAGTGAATACAAGAGTGAGATTATGTAGTCACTGCATTGTTAATGGTAGTAATTTCTTTTAAACAGTTAGAAAAAATTGACAATAATTCTACTTGTTAAGCCATATTCTATGCAGAAATTCTTCTGTAGTTTTGAATCTTAATGTTTCATAAACTGTTTTTCCAGAATGGTAACGTGTACTGTGTTAAGTCAATATTCTATTTTATATGTAGATTTTTGTGAGATGAAGCTTGGATTTATTTTATTTTTTTCCCCAGATTTCTTCTTCAACTGAATCCAAAGAGTGCAAGTAATTCTCCTTTAATTCAGTGTTCTTGCTGTTGTGGTCTGCAAATGTGTGCAAGGAATGTGTCTTGTGGTTAACATATGAAATTACATGGTTTTCTAGATGTATGAGATGGCCATACATTTCCTCTGTCATGGCTAAGATACTGGACAAAACATGTAACCTTTGTGAGGTTGCAGTCTGTTTCACAAGGAATATTGTGTGGCTTATCTCATTGTTGTCAAGACTTCTTTGATTTCCAAATGAAAGTTATGTAAGGATTGAATACTTGATTAGTGAACACGTAGTTACCTCAGGCTCAGGAATGAAAACAATTGTACTGAGCTGTAGTTAGAAA